TGCTGTGGTTTAGAATATTAGCAAGAAAATTACTAGTGTTATTTTATTGGGAACCGTGCTTGAGAAAAGTTTCGTTAATTGAGATTTTTTAAAATCAGTATGCAAACGTACTTGTACGTGTAAATCGTAAACACGTTATCAATAGCCTAAACAGTACAATTATCATTCGAAAAAAGTTTTTCTAGCGCGGATTTGTTCTTGTAATCATCTTCAGGCTCCAACATTATTAGAACTGCCACTCATGATCATGAATATTACCCAGAAGAAAGCTCAGTTGCATAAAACTGGCTAAACAAACACGAATGCTTTCAAGTAAATTTATTATACTAGATTCAAACAGTACCAGCATATGGGAATAGAAACTCGTTATGTGACTTAACAATGAAACTCACAGAGTAAATAACAGTAAACTTTTGTAAAATAAAACTAACTTCTAACAGGTTAAAATGCATGTTCAGCTTACATAATTTAATGTCACCACGAAAATTCGCACCACACTGAATTGCAAATTCTACAACTTATTCTCCATAACTTCGATTTGAAAAGCCACACATATAGAAATGCTAATTTTAAACCATAAACACAGGAAATCTCCTCGAATTTATACCGATAGCTTGTAACTTCCACTTTATTCGCTGTTTCCTTTCAAGGCTTTTTGGGTAAATATTTCTGTAGTGGCGACATGATTAGTAAATCATCTGTCTAACATGTAGAGCAAACTCCATACCTGATCTATGTACTTCCTCCAAAGCGGGGTATCCTCAACCGCATCGAATTCATTTAGCCCGTGAAGCTTTCTCCTTCTCTCAACTTCATCGTTGTTCAAACCAAGTAACGGATCACTCCGAAATTGTTTTAAAACTTCCTCGACCGATAGCGAGGAAGCCTTGCCCGACGAAATTACAGTGGACATCATCCCTACATCACTATCCTCCTCAGAGTAGTCCTCCTGCTTTAGCTGAACGTAAGTGCCCATACTGCAGCCAAATCGTTATGTGCTTCGCCATGATTTCACTAACATATTGGCAAAGTACACAGAACACTTACCGGAGGTCGGACGGTCACAAAACACAAATTAGCATTTCCCAACATGCATCGAAGATTAGAAAATCTTGGGAAACTGGGTCGAGTAAAGGATCGCAGACAGGTGTCTTCTCGTACGCTCTGAGAGAACGCCTAAAACACCCCTCTTGAAAAGAATGAGAAAATTAACAATTTCCGTGATTATTTCCAACGGCAATTGATTGATTTATGAGACGAAACGTTTCTCCTTTTTCTAAAAAATTGGTTTTCTCAAACAGAAATGCCACTACCCTTCATACCCTGTTTCTTCCTTCATAAAAACTTACACAACTTTTGTTTTTGTACAAAAAGTATCTTGAGCTTGGGTTACCTATGGTCTTCCAAAGGTGGGTGAGGAGTTGTAAGTGTAATTTGAAAGTTAAAAACCATCTTATCACACCTATAAGTTCATATGAAGTTAAAACTTTATTTTTCACTTATTTAAAATATCACCTCTAAATAATTACATTATACACCTTAGGTGATTCATTAGCACTAATGTTATTTAAAAAATTCTTATTATTCGTTACAAAACCTGTCATAAGGCTTTTAAACTTGGATTATACTGCCATGCCTATGGTGACTTGGAAAGTGAACGAAAAAGTAGTTCTTTCTACGACCTAAATTCAGCTAGTAACAAAAAAATAACTTGAAGGTAAGACTTATTTTATAATACTGATTTAAACTTTTTTTCCCCATAAAAATTAGCATATAAAAGCAACAACATTTAGAAACAAAATTCCATTACCAATGAGAATTCAGAGTAAAACAAATAAATTACCTGGTGCACAGAAAAATGCACAAGTAACCAATCACAACTGTCTTCCTTTGTGAATTTGATTGATTGAAAGACTGGTATAGCAAAGTGATGAAAAACTGACCCAATCTGTGATTACTTTCCACTTTCAAATGAAAATTGCTCTAATACTAATGACTTAGGTAAAAGGGATGAGGCAAGAAGTCAGTGTTTAAAACACATTTAAACCTAGCTGAGCCTTGGGAAAATTTGTCTTTTTACAGCTCCCAGGGAGCCCATACATTACCATGCAACTCTGGTAATGATGCTGGATCTGGTTTTGGGTAACGCACTGGTACAGCTGTGGCATTGTATTCCTTAAGCCTACGCATCAAATTATTCACCATCTCTGGATATACCTTTGACAGTTCATTTCTTTCTTCTGGATCCTCTCTTATATTGAAAAGAAAGGTACTGTTTATATTATCAAAATAATTTGGTGCATACTCGATGGGATAAGAACTCTCTGCTGGTGGAAGCCAACTTCCATTCCCTGGACATCCTGTTAAAAGCTTCCAATCACCAACTCGTATGGCAGCTTGTCGACAGTGTTTATATGGCTCAAAGTGAGAGTCCCAGTAAGCATCAATGGGGTCGATATTGTGCAAGATTTCCTTCCTTGGTGAAGGTTCTCCATTACTCAATGTTTCCCACACATTGTAACCGTCTAGAGGTAGATCCTCAACAGAACCTCCTGATAGATGGACAATTGTTGGAAACCAGTCAGTGACATGGATCAGTTCTGAATTTATCTGTCCAGGTTTTGCTAACAGTTTGCTGTGCACAAGACCTATACCCCTCATCCCGCCCTCCCATAGCGACCCTTTCCATCCTCGCAGAGGATAGTTGTTACCGGCTGCATATATCTGTCCACCATTGTCTGTACTGAAGAAAAGGACGGTGTCATCCCACAGGCCATGTTTCTGTAGGGCCACTGTTATGTTGCCAATCCCTTCATCCATACAGGTAACCATGCCTGCATACGTGCGGCGAGCAGGGTTTTTTATATCTTTGTATATCTCTGTATACTGTTCAGGTACCTGTAAGGGTGAGTGAACAGCTTGATATGCGACGAAAAGGAACAAAGGTGTTTCTGGATCGTGAGAAGAAATTATATCAACTGCTTCATTTGTGAACAAGAATGTTGAATAGTTCCCAGCGACATCAGCAGCAACTTCTTCATTTCTCCGCATGTCGTACCCGTTCAGACCACCGTATCCTTTTGATGGATATCCAAGGCCATTCTTATGAGTATAGTAATCTTCTCCACCTGTCAAGTAACCGAAAAAAGAATCGAAACCCCTCTGAGTTGGAATGAACTCTCTTTTGTAGAATCCAATATGCCATTTTCCGATCATGTGTGTACTGTAGCCACTCTCTTTCAGCTTACTCGCGATCGTAGTGTCATTTTTAGGCAATGCATTCGCCTGAGAAGGCCAGATTATTCCGTGTTGTAGGCCAGTGTGAATTTGATACCTGCCGGAAAAGAGCTGACTTCGAGTTGGGGTACAAATTGGTTGCACGTAATAGTTCTCCAAGCGCACTCCATTGGCTGCCAAACTGTCGAGAAAGGGAGTTTTTATGCGTGGATTGTGGTAACCGATATCATTAAAGCCATAATCATCGGCCAGAATGAACACTATGTGCGGTGGTTTTCCAGAAGCAATTTGCAAGCCGAACAGGAAAACTAATGTCACGAGACGCTCCTCCATTTTTGATGTTTTCATTTTCACTAGAAAGAAGGTGTGCACACTCTGATTGCGTTGCATCATGGTCGTGCGCAAGCCGAAAAGGGACAATCCAAGACGAAAGACGAAAAAACATCTTTCTTAATTCTTCCCCGAGCTCAAAACTTACCATCTCTACTTTTTCTACCTAATCCAAAAGATTTTGCAAATCCGAAAACAAATTTGGACTTGATATCTTTTATACAAATCGCTTTTGAAAAGTTTGTCGAATCGAGAAATTACGGTGGCGGGTAAGAACAAAACAGAGTCACAAAACCTACAACACAAACACAAACTTAAGTTTGTGTTTGTGTCGTAGAGTTTGTGTTTGTGTTGTAGAGTTTGTGTTTGTGTTGAAGAGTCTTGTGTTTGTGTTGCGGATTTTGTGATTCTGTTTTAAGTTTGTGTTTGTTTTTTTGCAAATCCGAAAAAATATTAAGAATCGTTTTTTTTTTTAGACAAATCGCTTTTGAAAAGTTTGTCTGATCGAGAAAACAATTTTAAATCCTGGTTTGATTCATAAATCCACAAAAAACTTTCATGAAAATCGAAAATAGTTTACAATCCAAGAATTTCTCTAAAATCCAGAAAATTTTGGCAAATCGAGGAAAAATATTTTGTCACGTAGCACTTTTATGCCAGTAGTCAGCAATTTGTTACGATACAGCATATTGTGTCGCACTAGGTTGCACTAGGTCGACTTGGAGTCACTACGCGAACGGACTAAACTGTACCAAGTGTCTTGAGATGTTCTGCCACAAAAGTGGAAAAGAATTTGTGAGCAATGAGCTATTCTGCCGTCGATGTATTGTTCAGATTTAGAAAAATACCATGGTGTTTCTACGGACTTAAGGACTCTAAAGAGAAGGTTGATTAAGTGTGGTACGGAAGCCGTAGTGAGCTCTTTAGAGCGATTTCCTCCGAAATCGCTCTTAGGAGCTCACTTAAGGCGACTCTATGTAGTAGGTCGTGTAACAATCTTTCAATTATCTTAACATGCATCGATGATTTGAAAGTCTTGGAAAACTAGGTGGAGTATAGGATCGAAGGGAGGTCCACAGATACCGACAGGTGTCTTCTCGTTCGTTCAGAAAGACCTACCAAAACACCTCTCTTGAAAAGAATGGGAAAATTAAAAATTTCCGCGGTTATTTCCAATAGCAATTGATTGATTTAAGAGACGAAACGTTTCTCCTTTTCTAAAAGATTGGTTTTCTCAGACAGAAATGCCACTACCCTACTTACCCTATTTCATCCTTCATAAAAACTTACACAACTTTTGTTTTTGTACGAAGAGTGTCTTGAGCTTGGGTTACCTATGGTCTTCCAAAGGTGGGTGCGGAGCTGTAAGTGTAATTTGAAAGTTAAAAACCATCTTTATCACACCTATAAGTTCATATGAGGTTAAAAGTTTTTTTTTCACTTATTTAAAATATCACCTCTAAATAATTACATTATACACCTTAGGTGATTCATTAGCAGTAATGTTATTTAAAAAATTCTTATTATTTGTTACAAAACCTCTCATAAGGCTTTTAAACTTGGATTACACTGCCATGCCTATGGTGACTTGGAAAGTAAACAAAAAGGTAGTTCTTTCTATGACCTAAGTTCAGCTAGTGACAAAAAAATACCTTGAAGGTAAGACTTATTTTATAATACTACTTTAAACTTTTTTTTTACTATAAAAATTAGCATTTAAAAGCAACAATGTTTTGACCGCTCAACAGTCATTTTCAAGTTGAAGGATAACATATTTATCATACACTTAAATAATCAATTGTAAAAATGCTAATGAGATACTAAAACACTCAACAAATTTAAATAGAACTTACTTTAACCTTAACCCATTAAATAGCAGTGGCTAATTAGAAACAAAAATTCCATAAGGAGCCAGTGAGAATTCAGAGTAAAAACAAATAAATTACCTGGTGCACAGAAAAATGCACAAGTAACCAATGATCACAACTGTTTGATTGATGGAGAGACTAGTACAGCAAAGTGATGCAAAACTGACCCAATCTGTGATTACTTTCCTCGTTCAATCAAAAATTGCTCTAATACTAATGACTTAAGTAAAAGGGATGAGAGAAGAAGTCAGTGTTTAAAACACATTTGAACCTAGCTGAGCCTTGGGAAAATTTGTCTTTTTACAGCTCCCAGGGAGCCCATACATTACCGTGCAACTCTGGTAATGATGCTGGATCTGGTTTTGGGTAACGCACTGGTACAGCTGTGGCATTGTATTCCTTAAGCCTACGCATCAAATTATTCACCATCTCTGGATATACCTTTGACAGTTCATTTTTTTCTTCTGGATCCTCTCTTACATTGAAAAGAAAGGTACTGTTTATATTATCAAAATAATTTGGTGCATACTCGATGGGATAAGAACTCTCTGCTGGTGGAAGCCAACTTCCATTCCCTGGACATCCTGTTAAAAGCTTCCAATCACCAACTCGTATGGCAGCTTGTCGACAGTGTTTATATGGCTCAAAGTGAGAGTCCCAGTAAGCATCAATGGGGTCGATATTGTGCAAGATTTCCTTCCTTGGTGAAGGTTCTCCATTACTCAATGTTTCCCACACATTGTAACCGTCTAGAGGTAGATCCTCAACAGAACCTCCTGATAGATGGACAATTGTTGGAAACCAGTCAGTGACATGGATCAGTTCTGAATTTATCTGTCCAGGTTTTGCTAACAGTTTGCTGTGCACAAGACCTATACCCCTCATCCCGCCCTCCCATAGCGACCCTTTCCATCCTCGCAGAGGATAGTTGTTACCGGCTGCATATATCTGTCCACCATTGTCTGTACTGAAGAAAAGGACGGTGTCATCCCACAAGCCATGTTTCTGTAGGGCCACTGTTATGTTGCCAATCCCTTCATCCATACAGGTAACCATGCCTGCATAGGTGCGGCGAGCAGGGTTTTTTATATCTTTGTATATCTCTGTATACTGTTCAGGTACCTGTAAGGGTGAGTGAACAGCTTGATATGCGACGAAAAGGAACAAAGGTGTTTCTGGATCGTGAGAAGAAATTATCTCAACTGCTTCATTTGTGAACAGGAATGTTGAATAGTTCCCAGCGACATCAGCAGCAACTTCTTCATTTCTCCGCATGTCATACCCGTTCAGACCACCGTATCCTTTTGATGGATATCCAAGGCCATTTTTATGAGTATAGTAATCTTCTCCACCTGTCAAGTAACCGAAAAAAGAATCGAAACCTCTCTGAGTTGGAATGAACTCTCTCTTGTAGAATCCAATATGCCATTTTCCGATCATGTGTGTACGGTAGCCACTCTCTTTCAGCTTACTCGCGATCGTAGTGTCATTTTTAGGCAATGCATTCGCCTGAGAAGGCCAGATTATTCCGTGTTGTAGGCCAGTGTGAATCTGATACCTGCCGGAAAAGAGCTGACTTCGAGTTGGAGTACAAATTGGTTGCACGTAATAGTTCTCCAAGCGCACTCCATTGGCTGCCAAACTGTCGAGAAAGGGAGTTTTTATGCGTGGATTGTGGTAACCGATATCATTAAAGCCATAATCATCGGCCAGAATGAACACTATGTGCGGTGGTTTTCCAGAAGCAATTTGCAAGCCAAACAGGAAAACTAATATCACGAGACCCTCCTCCATTTTGGATGGTTATATGAAGTATGTTGTGTAACAATCTTCAATTATCTTTTTCCTGGTGCATGTCGGTAGACACTATAAACATGGCGACCGCGGAAGGATTCAGGACACATCGTACAACTCGAAGCGATTCTCAAAAGAATGGGCAAAGCACGCTTTCCAGAGGATGGGGTAAGCAAGCAGCTCAGAGACTCGACACGAAGGACCAGTTCAAGAACGACCCCCTTCTTAAAACTTTGGAAGGAAAAATTGCCGTCAATTTTGGTGATTATAAACCATGGCAACGCACTACTCAGTCAAGATTTCAGAACGAAGGACAGACCAGGAGAAAAAGTGCCAGTCGTCCTTTGTCAGGGCAGACTGTGGTATCTCTTGGAAGTGCTCCTGGATTTTCTCGAGAAAAAACAATAAAAATAGGACCACGGCCATTTAGTGCAGCTACGAGTACGGCTTGTTCCACGGTTTGCAATCACCCATGGACGAAAAAACCCCCAGTTGTTGACGATGCTGAGGAGAAGAAGAAGGAAAATGTGTTGTCTATATTAAAGGTATTTCCTGATAGGTGCAATGACCTGGTTATAAAATGTACTAAGCTTGAACATTACTCTAGGGCTAAGAGTGACAGTTTCAGTGCATGTAAAGTTGATGCTTAGCTGTAAGAAAGTCAAACAACAACAACAACAAAAACAACAGCAAAAACCACAACAAAAACAACAACAACAACAAAGTTAAGAACATTTGATCATTATCATCAACATATTTCCATAAAGACTAGGTGAAGGTAGGACAGGAAACAAGTTTGCACTTGTTTTGCTCTAGTAGTTATTATTATAGCACAATTTACTATTAATTCAACAACATCAATAAAATAAAAAGAAATTTCATCCTCTTTGCATATTTCCACACAGGGTGAAAAAGAGTGGGGTAGAACACAGGAGTCTTAGTTTTTTTTTTTTTGAGATTTTTCGCTAGTTACAGTATCTCCCTTTGTTTGCCCTTATTTCTCTTGCACTCTGTTTTCCATCATGTTTATATCCTCAAATTTATTGACTCAACTCAAATAATTCCAGAGCAAACAGATTGCAAGAAAGACAAATAAATATATAAAAATAAAGACTTCATGTATAATAATATTTATTTCTCAATGGTGTGTGGTTTAGTAAAAGTAATCTAGATCTAAAGTGTGATTCTTATGTTGTGCTTTGAGAGACACACAGTCTTTCTTTATTCACAAATATTAGATTTAATGGTACTTGCAAACTTTCAAACAAACTTTACAGATTACAGTAGGCAGGTTAAAGACATACCTCTGGCTAATATCTCAGGGAAAGGTTACTAAAGAGTGCACTATTCTTTCTCCAGATTCAAATTAAAACAAGACAGAAATCAATAGCTGAGTATGAAAACAGAAAGAAAGACCTGTATCTTTTGAGGATTTTGATATTTTGTTTTGGTAAAACCTTATTTGTTAGTATCATCTGTCTCTCTGAGTATCTTGTGTGCCCTTATTTTGGAGGGGTATTTATATCTTCATATGCAAGTAACAAGCAGTGGTGGAGTCTTGTCACTGGAGAGAACCAATCCTTTACGCCCTGACATGCATATTCTCCATATTTTTCTCTTTTTTTCTGAGGTGCTGACATAGAAATTTGGTTTGTATATAAAAGTAATGAGCTTATTTGGTTGGTGATCATTTCCTTTCTTTTTGTGACTGTAATTTGGGACTCAAAGGTCAATATTGTAAGGAGAAATTAAATGCTAGTCACTCTCAGGGATCAAAGGGTTGAACATTACTGCAGGTATATGAACACCAGGGGTATGACGGGGAAACATGGTGGCCTTTCTGTTGATCTGCTTAACTCCAGATTGAAAGGTACTGGTCTAAGTCCCAGCTGAAGTAACTATCTTGTGCTCTTGTGTAAGACCCCCTTTCTTGTATTGTATGAATATGTGAGTGACCTCCTTAACTGTTTTACCAGACTTATTGAAAACATGAAGATCACTGATGAGATTGAATCATCAGAGAACAGGATTGTGAGTTAAACTGCAACTGTATCTTCTTACATTCTTGTTTTGCTACTTTTGTCATTACTCCTGATAGTATAGACAATCATTTTTGCCCATCAAAAGGTTTAATCTCAACCAGAGCTTTTAATGTATAACCTACTGTTATTTAATTTTTTTAGCATGGAGATGTGAAGTCTTTACTTAGGAAATATGAAAGATTCAGGGTAAGTTACATTTACCAGAAATTTGATTTGAAATGTTTCAGTCAGGCTTTGGCTAGGAAGATTGTATGTAAAAGCCAGTTGATAGTAATCTTTACCATATAACATGTTGTATTTAATGCTAGTATAACTATTGGCTTAACATTTGAACTTCCATGAGTGACCAAGATCACTGGGACAAAATGTCTCTCTATCAAGCAGACAAGTAATGAGAATAAAGAAAAATATCAATTATAGGATTATTACAGTAGTTGAACCAATACCCAATTCTCCAAACCAACATTACAAGAATTGTATGGTGGACAGTAAGGAGAATTACTCATGATCAAGATCTTGGAGATGAAAAAGTGAAGGAGTATCTGGAAAGCATGATATATTAAATGTAAAATTTACCCAACAAAGTATTTTATAACATACCTAGTAAATTTGTTTAATCAAATTCAATTGTGTGAGTGTGCTTCACATTCCTAAAAAAAAATTTTCCATTAGGTTGAAAATGTTATAAAACAATTGGTTCATACACCAGCTGTGTGTTCATCGAGATATGAAGCACACAGGAAGTTTGGAGAGCACGAAAGATGCATAAGAGTTGCTCGAGGCGTAGCTGAGAGCAACTCTAGCTTCTTGAGTGCTCTCCAAACTTCCCAAGTTTGGAGAGGCATGCTGATGTATGAACCAATTGTTAATTTAACAGCAACACCAACATACTTACTTCTGTTTGCTTGGGTTGTTCTATAGTTATGGAACAAGTCTTTTCCTTTTTTTCAGCATTTGATTTGTAATTGAATGATTAAGGTATCATTTCTTTGACAGGGTGCCATGTCAACATTAAATAAGAAATTTGATAAAAACCTTGTTATAACAAAGAAGAAACTGGAAGAAACAAAAGAATTAGTCGACAAAGAAGTAGCAGGTACATTAAGTAAAACTATTACTTTCTCTACCTCAATGGTCTATGAAACATTTCTGTTGTGAGTGTGAAACTATTCTTGAGAATTATAAGCTATTGTTGTCAATTAGTGAAGTTTGTTCACCAAAAAGTTAGCCTCTAAAACTTTTTTCCTGAACTTCACAATTTACCTCGAGGGTGAAGTCATTCTATGGACAGCACTACTGTATTCATCTCCCTAAGTGAGTTTCATTGTTTACTTTCATTTATTTATCATTTACCTGATTAGAGTTAGAGCACCAACTGAATGTAATGGACAAAAAGTTGCTAAAAAAGAGGGAAGAAATGAACATACTGTTAAACTATAAGGTAAGTTGAAAATATGAGGGAGTGAGGCACTGCAACAGAGTGTAAGAGAAAGACTGAATGGTATTTCATACATGGAGGGTGTACCAGAGACCACAGGGTTTTGAATTGTGTTAAAAATTGAGGTGGCTGAAAGATGTTTTATTACAAGAAAATCAAGGGTAGAGAGCTTTCTAAATTTTCCAATCATGGTTACTTAGTGAACAAGGTAGACTAAACTTATGAGAGTAAAAGGGAAGGGGGTGGGGTGGAGAGAATGAAAGAGATTCCTCCCAATGTGAAGTTGTTGTCTTAATTGTTGAGGGTTCAAATTCATGGATGTCTTCCTGATGGGAGTGCACAGCACCAGGGGATTTAACTACACTCTAGCACACAATGTTTTTGATATGTTGGTTTGAAGTCCTTGTCAGGGTCACCTTTACCTTGACAATCACACTACCCTATCAAATCCCCATATTGTTAAACCTAGTATTGTGAAATGTTATGAAAATTGAAATCTTGGTTATGCTTTTTATTTGTTGTTTTCTTTGTGTATCTTATGTTAGGATAAAGAGTATCCTGCAAAGGCACTCCAAATAGCCAAACTGAAAAGACAAAGGGAAATTTTAGAGTCAACATTTAAGGTTAGCATTGGTTCCTTACGAGACCTTCGACATCTTGTTATACTTTATTATATGATATCAGAAGTAATAATTTTTATGAAATGTGTACCCAGAGAATTAGAGCCACTCATTGCAGTTAGGCCATTGAATTACTGGCTCATTTGACAAACATCTTCTAAACTGCTAGTAGGATTTGAAGGTAGACTTAATGGTTTTGTGCTATGATGGAGTGAGGTGTTAAATTTGAATCCTGGTTACTGAAAAGAATGATGTTTCTAGTTAGTAATACAATCATTCTCAAAAAGAGAGAAATTCTGATGTATTAAGTGCTGGTAAAAATAATTATTTTAAATAGATTTATGGACTACAGTGACATTCACTTTGAGTTTGAAATGTTTTTTTTTCTCATGACTTTTTTCTTGATTTCATTTTACTAGGAGGAACTAGAAGAATTACAAGTTGTGGTTGATGCAGAGAGAGATAAATTCAGTCAACAAAGAATAACTGTCCAACAAGAAATAACGACACAAGTAACAGAGGTACATTTATACAAGAAATTCACTGTTCAGCATTACTGGCTAAGTATCAAGGAGACTGGTGATGAGGATTCTTGGGGGGGGAGTGGGATAGGTTAAGAGTAGGTGACAACAGAAAAAACTGACGGTAGAAGTTTTGTAAAGAGTTGCCTCTTGTTGCATGGTGTTTGTAGGGTATCATAGTTTTATTTTATTGTTTTATTGTGCTTTTGTTTTTGTTTTCAATCATGATTTTTGTTTTTGCATATTTTTCAAGCCAATGGCAAATTAAGGCTTAAGGAGCAATTGATTGGTCATGAAAGACCTTGACAATATGTGTCTGCAAAGTGAAAATAGTTGATTGTCAGACTTTTGCATATGAAAAAAGCATATGAGCCCTGTAACAGTCTTTAATATGCTCTTTCATGTTAGGATACAATAAATGCTATGGGAGATGAGATTAAAGAAATGGCTTTACAAAATATGATCATGAAAAAGGTAACTTACTTATGGCTGTACTTGTATGATTTTTACTGAATTGAATTAAAATGCTTCCACTTATGTTGATTTTGTGTTCTTTATCTTAAAGGAAGTTGAAATGCATAAAGATGAGCTAAAATCCCTGGAAATGAACAATGCAAAGTTGGAAGCTGAAATTAGGTAGGAAACCTATCCCACTTGACCCTTAGCCTGTTCTGGTGATAATGTGTTGAAAAGTGAACTGGACATCTCTTGCAATTTCATTTTGCTGACAGAATTTCATGTATTTGCTATCCCAACAGGAAACTCTTAGATAGTGAAGCCTTAGACACACAAGCTGAGATATTCCCAGAAGTGTTTGGAAAACGGGAGAAGTTAGTAATTTCTGTGAAGTATCTTTTGTTAACCCTTTATTCTGTTCAGGAGCTTTCAATCATTTAAAATTGAAGGCAGTTTTATACCCAAATGGCTTGGTCTAAAAGACTTTTATATTAGGCATAATAACAATGATTATGAGAATAATGATGATGATGATGATGATCATAATGACAATAACAAATATGAAGGTGCCATCCAAAGTCTAAGTGGTTCTAACTAACTTCCTTTAATTGATATTTTTATTTTGTCTCTTTGACCATACCCATGGGCACTGTTGTAAAGTAATGATTTATTTTCATTTTTCTCCAGGTGCACACCAGATATGGAGCTTCATCTTGATATACCAACCCATGACTGGCTTCCAATATGACATCTCTTAGAGATTACTTTCTCCACAGATGAATCAGAATCTGATTTTAATGTTTGTGTCTTCAGTATGACAAATGTGTAAAGAAAGTTTAAACATTCAGTACAAAGTAACTTTTACTTTTTCGTTGTAAACATGTTCACAACTTGACCCCTCCACTTTTGTTGCTGCAAAACCCTTTGCTATTCATCAAACTTTCAGTGCAATGCTTTACATCAGATTTCTTTTAGTTTTCCTCTGGTATTTTGGTATGTTTCTTCTCACCATTTTACTGAATTACTCTCAAGAATAGAGATGTGTTATGTATTTAAAAGGAAACTTCAAGCAAAGCTGATGTTAAGATTTTGTGCTAATGAAAACTGTTAAATTATCTGCAAAAAATAGAAGTGATCATTTTCTAAATTAACTGAACAAGAGGTGTCCATTGTGATACATTAATGTATTTTCCCTTCATATTTTAAGTTTTTTATGACTGCGTGTAAGAAATTTACTAAGTGTATCTAAACTGATATGAGAGTCTTGATTGTCAAATTTTGATTTTGGAAACTCAAAATTTTATTTTAATGTGGAATATAGGTAATGGAAAAAATGAAGGTAATGAAAACTTGAAGTCATTCTTAGCGAAATGGCGGTGGTGTTTGGAAAATGGTCGAATGCCCGTGCATCTCTGGAAAAACTGCGTGATAAAACGCACGGGGAAGGCAAGGGGCCTTAAACTGTCGCATACACCCCAAAAGAACCTGAAATGATAATCCGTTGTTCGTTTGTTTTTATATGACGTACCTTTCTATCACTACCCACATCTCATTGCGTGCTACGGATGAACATTTAGCATTCCGCCATCTTGCCGGATTTCGATTCACGGATCTTTCTTATCATGGCGAGTTTATTGAGAATGGGTGCTTTACCTCGAATGTACGCTAGAGTTGCCTGTAGATCAATCCAGACGTCAGCAGCCCGTAAATATTATCCAGTTCCAAAGATCAGACCAGAGTACGGGTCTGAACTAGCCGCGCTGCAAGCCAAGGAACAGGGTCCGTGGACCGAGCTCACAATACAGGAGAAAATCGATTGTGAGTTATTTTATTTAACCGCGTTTACTGATATACATTTTTTTATGTTCACTCAGAATAATTTGAGATCACTTTAAATATCAGCAGTCGAGTTCTTTTAACATTTTTAGTTCATAGTAAGCCTACTTTCGGTAGGAGTTAATTTGTACATGTACGTCATATTGATTCACTTGCTACACTGAAGGTTGGAGATTAACGCGAGTGAGTTGAAAGCAAGTGCATATCTTCTCTGGCAATGAAGTGAAAGAGAAACAGTAGTGGCGACTGTATTTTGATATGAGTTAATTCCAAAGGGTTCAAGAATGTGATTTTGCCGTTGAATCTCGAGTCATAATTGTAGTCGTTTAACTGAGCGTTCTACATTGATATATATATATATATATATATGGTAACGGTTTGACGGGACAACCACAGTAGGAGTGAGGAAAGTTTGAAATGATATTCTTGGTCCAAACTAGTGATATGGGCTAGTTGTGGTGAAAGTACACAAAGTTTTAATATTGGTGTGATTGAAAGGAACTGAACTATTACACTTGCACTGATTACTCAAGACTGTAATTGTAGACCATACGAGATCTTAAGCATTTAAGGTTTTTTTGTTTGTTAAATCAAAATTTTGCGCCTTAATTGTCTTGGTTTCCTTTTATGCAACTTACTTGTGATTTGGAAGAGGGTAAAAAATTTAAATGTTTCACGAGCTGAAAGCTCTTGATTTTCAAGTATTATACTGCTATAAAAACATCCCTCTGGAATCAGTCTTTCAGAAACTGTGGCTCATTGCATACACATGAATAGTTTTAATTTCATGTAATAACTATTTGATTTTTCTTAGTCTTTTGCTTTGAAAGTGTGTGATATTAAGGAGGAAGGCAGTAACTGTTCACAAAGATTTATCCACTTGCTCTTTTGCATTTCTAGTGTACAAAGCTCAGTTTCCTAAAACTATAGCAGAGGAGAAGACAGAGGAGCCTTATGTAAAGAAGATGATTGGAATGCTCTCTATTTTGATGGCTGTTTCAGTTGGTCTTTTTGCATTTCTAAAAAAATATGGTAAGTGCACTCTTAGCAATTTATTGGGATACTGATTGTGTATTTTCATTTGTCATTGAGATGAATAGCATGTGGTCACAATTAATGATATTTTGTCTTGGAAAACTGGTTTTTTTTTTTATTTGAAGTGTATTTCCAATCCTCAGTTTAAGAGAAAAGGTTAAAAAGTGTGAGAAAAAGTTGTGACATAGTCCTTTCATTTATATTAAACTCTTTGGTAAATGGTGGGCCTAATTTTTATATTTTATGTTCCTGTAATTTTACCTTCCTGGCCTCTACAACTTGTTTTAAAAAAACCGAATTTGTACTTAGGCAAGGCCAAGAAGTGTTATTTGTTTTAACATAAAAAGATAATAATTGTCTGCATCACAATGAGTAAGGTCTACATGTATACTCAGGGATGATGTTCACATCTTCATAAGAAGATACCAATCTGAAATACCTCATCTGAATGATCTACCCACATATCCAGGGCGTGAAATTGCGCCTAATACAGGCGCCAATGCGACTAGATTTTTCACTTTGGCGACCAAATCCTGAAAGTTAGTCGCCAAATTGGTGACTACAACGTTTCATCATAACCTTACCAAGTGATATAGTGAATTAAATAAATTTGCAAAGACAAATCCGCGGCAAACTTCCTCGTTAAGTTTGTTTCCAAAACGTAGCACATGCATCTCGATCCATAACTAGACGCCATCTTGGATTTAGATGAGCCTGAAAGTTGTATATCATCCATCCTAGTGTCCACTTTGTAGCACGTTAAAGATCTTTTCCCTAACTTAATTTTAGAGGGTCTATCTAGAACGCTGACAGCGTAAAGAAAGATTTTGTTTGTTTTTGAAAGTGGCAACCAACTTTTTTTGAATTGGCTACCACTTTGAAGAATTTAGGAGCCAAGTGGCTATCAGAAAAAAAAGTTAATTTCACGCCCTGATATCACTATAGTTCTCAGGCTTTTCCTTTTTATCAGTCTACAGTGATGTGAGTTTCGATGCAAACTTGCTGAAACTACCTAATTGTATAAAGTAATTTTGAAACATTCAAATTTGCAAATTGATTTGCCTGTTTGATCTCTCTTTTGATCCTAAGCAAAGGAAATCTTCATTCTAAATTGTGTTGGTGTTGTTACTTCCTGCTGTTTAGTGACAGATGCACTTCCACTATGTGTTAAAAATTTTTCTCAGTATAATCCTGTAATTTGTGTTTTTCACTAGTTGGTCCAGAGAGGCCTCGTACCCTTACAGAGGAGTGGAGAGCAGATGCCAAAAAGATAGCAAGACAGCGTAGGGCAAACCCCATCACTGGTGTCAGTTCTAACCAGTCTTAATCAGAATTCAGTGGTTTTTACTCTTGAACTTTGTTGCTAGCCTGCTAATGAATGTGAAGTGTTCTCAGATTTTGGAATATGGTCTTTTTTGTGTGCTAATTACAGAGTAAATGTAAATAAAAAGACAGTAAAACACCTTTTTCTTTTAATTCTTTGTGTTTTAGTTCATTCAAAACTTCATACTTGAGCTAAGATCATTCTTGAAATCTTTACTTTGACTTGAAAATTAAGAGATACAGAAGCAAACCATGCTGAAATAACTACAAATGGACAGTACATGAACTTTTATTCTTCAATCAAATATTAACTGTTTTAATGAAAAGAAACTGAAGAAATTTGTCTATCTTTCTTGCCTTAGATGAAAAACAGTAGCAAAGTTAACTTCAGATTAGGAGAGTTTGAATATACAATTGAGAGAATATATTAAGAACCCTTTGTTTTCCTGATAATTGCTTCCAATTGGTCCCACTGTTCCTTTGGAATCTAAAATGCAAGCGCAACAAAAAATCAAAAGGTAAAGTTAATGTAAAATGTGATGTCAACAATTACACTGCCAATGATCGCTGACTTACGAACCACACTATTGACTTGGCAAGTGTTGACAACTACCAGCACCATACAAACGACTCCTTCACAACATTTACACAACATATGAACAGAACAGAATAACCTAACATACTGACAGATTGAAAATGACCAATCATGACCAACTTGCACAAAGTCTTGTAACCAAAAACAGCATGCCTGAACTGACTGATCAGTTTACTCAGACTGAACTTAACCTTTTAACTCCCATGAGTGACCAAGACAGAATTTTGCCTGACAATATTGTTACAATATCAACCAGATCAGTGATGAGAATAAAGGAAAATATAAATTTGGGGATAATTGGTTGATCTGACACTAAATTCTCTGAACTAATATTATATAAATTGTAAGGTTGACAGTAAGGAGAAGTAAAAATTTGATCAGGGAGTTAAAGGGTTAAAACTCTCACCTAAGGACTACTGTCCTGCAGGAGATCATACTACATATTCAAATGTAGTGATTAAGGTTATAAACATACCTTTCTGAAATCATTGAATTCACCAGCCATAGAGACATACTCTCCTCCATCAAATGTTACAACCTGCACAAAATGCAAATTATTGAGAGTGATCAGAGGTTTATCCTGAATAACAGTAGGTGAATCAGAACTTCATGTGTTATCCTCCAGGGCGAGTCCTCAAAAAGTTTGTGCAAATTGTCAAGTTTCTATATTTTGGTAACACTTTAGCTTAATAAATATTTGAAATATCACCATATTCATGTGAATTAAAGTACATCAAGGATGCACGCCATCATGATTGTCTATTACTAAAGAAAGCATTTGGTTGTGGAACAGAGTCATCATTGGTGTTGTTAAGAGGATATAACTCAAAGAAAGCTTCCTATTTTTTTTCCTTTTTAGGGGTGAGAATTCCTAATTTTCTACATGAAATTTTCCCTATTTTCTGTGACATTTGTTACTTGACACCCTGTGTGTGTTAAGGCCAAGAATAAACAAACAACAGTGACAGAGATAAACTAGTTGAGGCATACTTCTCCTGTCATCCAACTGGAGTAGTCACTGACAAGATACATTGCTAGGTTTGCCAGTTCTGGGATTTCACCGAGTCTGCCAGTTGGAATGCGTTCTATAGCATGCTTTGTAAATTCTCCTGTGGGATCTAGACGGCTGAAGGCACCCTGAAATTACATAGATACACCTCAAAAACGTATCACTTTTTTTCCCAGTAGACAAATATTTATTATTATTAACATGAAAAATAATTATACATTAAGTCAGTGGTATAGCTCAACTAGATATGTCCCCTCTTAACCCACTAATGTACAAAGTTGTAAAGTGAAAGAAATGGAGACAACTATTTGATTTTGGAAACTAAAGATTTGAAAAAATGTGATGGTAGCACTGCTAATTGAAAAATTTAGTGTAAAAATTGTAAGAAAAGTTAACATCATGACTACAGTACTTCAGGAGAGGGGAACAAAAACTTTATAACTAGAATAGGGTGGGGCTGATATTGGAGCAGGGGCAGAAGCTCTCTTCCCCAATTTTCTAGTTACTAATGGGAATCAGAGGTCTTGTACCTTGGT